CTTAATTCATCTTTTATTTCTAAATATTCTTTTTGTAATATTCTAATTTTTTTTATCACAATCAGAGCTTATATGACATATTTTTCCACAATTCCAACATTTATATTGACTTTTATTTTTCTTTTTATTCTTCTGTTGATTATATGTGTTATTTTTTCTTTTATAATATATTCTTCTAGGTTTTATATATTTTTTATTAGAATTCCTAAATTTTTTAAATTTTTTATTTTTATACTTTCTTTTATTAATTCTTCTTTCAGGATTACATTCTCATTGCAGTTGGGTTTTCATATTTTCACAACATATTTTAGTTAAATTTCTTGATTTTTTCGTTAATTGTCTTTGTTGATATATATATGCAAGTCTTTCAAATAAAAATTTTATTTTTGAATCTAAAGTTCTAGGTATTCTAATATTATCTCTAACATATTTTTCGAATTCTATTTTAAAATATATTTCTCATGAGCCTGATAACTTATTATAGTAAATGTCTTGGTATACTTCTTGATTTTCATTACTATAAAATTGAACATAATAGTAATTTTTAAATTCACAAGTACATTCTTTAATTTTACACATATCACATATTGTTAAATTTATTAATTTAATTCTAGAATTATCTTTTTCTCTTATTGATTCTCTTTCGACATTTCTCATACAATTTTCTCCTAAAAATTCATTTGAAATATATTCTACTAACTTTTCTATACCTTGTCTATCTGACTTTATTATTTCTGTTTGTACATTCTTTTTATTAATGTTTTTGTATAATTGCTTATTCATTCCCACCAATTTCTAACATCTCCTTCAAAGGATGCTATTAAGAAATCTATTCTTCTGTCAGTACTTTTCCACGTGTCATCTTTATTATATAAAAAATATAATATCATTGAATCTGTCCAAATTAATAAGGCTTTTTTAGTATCTATTTTATAATTTAAATCTAGTTTTGTTTCTCCATGATTAGTTGGTTTATCATAATTATCATTTAATTCAAACATATCTTTATATTTATTTCTTTTAGGTGGTTGTCTATCTCTTACTTTATCATAAAATTGTCTATATGATTTAGTATATATAGGTGCATAACTTTCATCTGTACCATGTCCTGCTGGATTAGGTCCTCCTCCAGTATTCATTAAAACTTAATATTCACTTATATCAGTTAAGTTTAATTGATCAAAATTTTCTATTAGTAAATATAATTCTTCTTTCATTTTTATCTTTTTTTCTTCTATTTTTAATTTTCCTAATGATTTTTTTCTAGATTATCATTCCTCTTCTAATATTTTTGATAATATATTCTTTCTAAATTAATCATCCATACTTCTTGTTTCTATTACTATATTCTTTTTTCTATATGTTTCTTTCCCATTCAAGTCATTTCTTTTTCTATAAGTTTTTTTATCTTTATTTTTATTATTTTATTTTAATTCTCTAATTTCAATTTTTAATATATTTATATCGTTTCTTGTTTCTTTTACTTCATTTCTTAAATCTTGTACATCATTTATTAATATTTTTATTAATGATTTTAATTCTTCCATATATTCACTTATTGGCATCTTAATTTTTTTCTTATTTCTAACTCATAGGTTAATTTGCATCTTTTATTTTCCTTTTTATCTGTTATTTTTCTAATTCTTCTCTCAACTGTATTTGGATCTACTAATTCTTCTTTTACTATAGTAAAATATCTACTCTCAAGTCTCAATCTTTCACATTTTAATTTTATTAATTGTCTATTATTTGATATTCTCATTACTTCTGGTATTAAAATTATATTTCGTATTTCCTCTTGTATTTTTTCCATTTTTATAAGTAATTTATTGAATTTTAAATGTGTATTATCACTTGTACTCATACTTTTATTTGTAATATAAATTATCTTCTTCATCTTCATATATATTAATAATTTTTTCATATGTATATATATCCTTTATTTATTCTATTGTTAATTTTTATAATATTTGTTCCTTTATTTCTCTAGACAACTCTTTAATTATTGTTAATGTCATTATTTTTAATCTATTATGAATATGTTTTAAAAATATATAACTACCTCTCTCTTCTTCTAAATGCCAAAAATTATATATTTTTCTTATTTTAATTTTCATGATCTCTATGCTTTTATCAAAATGTAAATATTTGTGTATTATAATTAATTATTATTTTAAAGATGTATAATCCAAATATTCATTTAATTTTCTAATAGTTAATCTGTTATTTATTAAACTTATATAAAATCTAAGTATTAATATAAATCTAAAGATTTTTACTTCTTCAAGTAATATATTTTTTTATGGGTTTTCTCATGATCTTTATGACTCTGATACCAATAAGGGGGAGCTACTTAGAGCGAACAAAAATCAAATAAATCGAATAAAAAGTATAAATCAAATAAAACTATCAAATTTTAACCAATATTTAATTTTAAGGACTAAAATAGAGAATTTCTATATTATAGTGTCTTATTATGTAATATCTAAATGGAGAGCATTTTTGTTATGTAAATTGACCAAAGGTCATTTTGGAAAAATGACCCGTTTCTAAGGGCTATTTCTATGTATTTCCCCGTAATGGAAAGTATTCACCAAAAAAACAAAAACTTTTAGAGCATCTTCAAAAAAATTTTAAACATGAGATGTTATCTATTTTAAAGATCCAACCTTTAAAATTATGCTACAAAAAAACTCTTTGAATTAACATTTTAATTTAGAGAGTGTGTTTGACTTTTCAAAATTAGAGAGTCAAACTCACTCTTTATAATTAAATGCATTCAAAGTGTTTCAATTTTAAATGTATGAAAATAATAAAACAAAAACTTTTGGAGCATCTTCAAAAAATTCTTTAAACATGAGATGTTATCTATTTTAAAGATCCAACCTTTAAAATTATGCTACAAAAAAACTCTTTGAATTAACATTTTAATTTAGAGAGTGTATTTGACTTTTCAAATTTGGAGAGTCAAACTCACTCTTTATAATTAAATGCATTCAAAGTGTTTCAATTTTAAATGTAGGAAAATAATAAAATAATCTAAAGAAAAATTGTTTAAAATAAAATATAGAAAAAAATAATAAATATATTTTAAGAGTAGTAGAATTAAGTGTTAAATATAGACTTGTTGGAGTATTTCAAAATTTTAACTCTCTAAAATTTATAGATGCTTTTTAAAAATAAAGAGTCTTTTGGATATGCTCTTAGACATTAATATCATCACCATATTTATAGTTCCTAGATTGTCCAATTAATATTATTTAGGGCTAAGAAGGTCTTTGTCCCTTGAACCAGTTTTGTTGAAAAATTAACCAAAATCAACTAACGTTCATGTATTTAAGTATTTTCACAGGCATTCACATTTTCTAATAGAATAATGCTATTTAGTCTCACTAGAATTATCCAAGAATGTGTTGATTTTGCGACTCTATAAGTGTACTTGAAAATCTTTTTTACCAAATGGGGTTTCAAGTTGGCTCTAGATCAACTCGAATATCTACATTGTCTAGCCACAAAACCGTTCCAAACCAACCCATAAGTTTGTTCTTGTCGGCTGATTCACTGTCTGTGGAGGTAAAATTCCAGTTTGGCTATTTATAACTGTCTATTAAGTTGTGGTTCTATTGTTTTATATAATTCCTACTTTTATTTTCAATTGAATTTATTAATGTTCACTAAGCTTGTTATTTAATCAAGTTAATTGCATTATATGTCCAAACTCTAAGGCACCGTTTGATAGCCCTCCTTTTTCATGGAACTTGGAAAATAAATTTCCTTTTACATCTTTTAAGTGCGTTTGATGGCAAAAAATTGGCATGGAATTCATTTTCCACTTCTTGCCTCACGTGATGACTTTTATAGCTTTTAGTGAATTGCAATTCCCACCAAATAGGTGGGAATTGCTTTTCCAACTTTTTTTTTCATTGCAGATTTTTTTTTTTTGGGCAATGAAAACAAATTCTAGAAATAATTGTAAAAGAAAATATTTCTTAAATTGTCAATTTCAATGTAAAATAAAGTCTAACGAACACTAAAATATAGATGCTTTTTGGTTTTGTTGGATTTTATTTTATTTTTTTGGTAATGAAAACAAATTCTATAAACAATTGTAAAAAAAAAATATAGCTTAAATTGACAATTTTCATGAAAAATAAAACCAAGCGAACACCAAATGACACTTTAATTTCAACATTTTTCAGGTGAAAATTTATACCAATCAAACACTATTAATTAACAATTTTTATGAAAATAATTTTTAGGCAATTCAATTCTCTGGAATTCGTTTTCTTTCCACACAAATTTCATCATTACAATCAAATGGACCCTAATAGTTCTTTTTTCAATTGAATTATACCTTCATATAATTGAATTTATGCTAGATCTTTTTCAGATTCTAAAAGTTCTTTTTTTTTGTCCCTGATTTAATGGTTACATGAAAATATTGTATAACAAAATCATTTTTTCATTTAATGTATTATTTATATGTTTTGCACGATATTTAATTTTCATAACTTAAGAAATCAAACACAACAAAAATCAAAATACTATTACAAGACCTTGTACAACAAACATGTCAAGTCTTTGAAATAACGATATTTAGTACTGGTGGTGTTAGAGTGCCAGTTTAAACTATCACATTTGATAGATTCAATTAAATGAATTATATGAAATTGTATTTAAGTATACCCAGTGCTTGTTTGATATAGCTTTTAAATCAATTAAATTAATTTTTTTACTATTATTTCATTATTTCAATCGTCATTTTTGAATTCTCATCTCATAAGTAGAATTCATTTTATTTATAATGGTCAAAAAAATAATTATCAAAATTCTTACCAAACAATCAGTGTTATTTAATATCATCCAAATGCTTCATACTAATGGTATTGAATACCATTATTCAAAATATTAACCAGTATAAATAAAAAAGAACCCAAAATTGGAGCATCAAAATTCATCCACGTGTATACACACAGTACGCATATACAAACATATATAACTCGCACAATTTTTGACCTTGAAATTGTCAATGTCGGCTCTCGTCTTTCTCTATTCCTCGTCTCTTCTTCAAAGGTACCTTTACCTTTTTCTTTTTTTAAGTTTATTTTCATATGAAGAATCTGTTATCGAATTCTCATTCTCGATTGGTCTGATTGTGTGTGCGGATATGTAATATTCAGGGGATCATCATGAAACGTGTATTTCTTGGAGAAAATTCAGCTTATGCTCACAACTTTTCCAATTTTCCGCAAACCCAGAAGATATTTTATTGAAAAGTTGCCTACTTGCACTTTTTGTATGTATATGTTGTGCACGTGGGTAGTTTTCTTTTTTGGCTTTCGGGGTATCAATTGAGGCAGAAATGAAATTGAAAAGTTGATTTTGTAAAAGGGATTATTGTTGCAGGTTGTTGTAGTATAGTGGAGGAGAGGAATGGAAGAGCCGGGGCAACTTAAACGAGCATTGATTGATGCCACGGCAGGGGCATTATCCGGCGCAATCTCGAGAACTGTCACGTCACCTCTCGACGTAATTAAGATTAGATTTCAGGTGAAGTTCTAATTTTTCATGATGTCATTAAATATATATTATGGATTTAATTTGTGAAAAAAGTGAGCGTAATTGTATTCTGGTTAAAGGTGTTGAATTTTGGCTAATTGAACATATGCATAACTCAGACTGGGATGGTTGATTGTATTTGTCTATACTCCATTGGTAGTATTATGTAACTTGGTTTACTTTTTTGGGTCGAAATGATAATTACTCAATTGCGTTTGTTTTATCTGATCGACTAATAATTCTGGGACAGGAACACGCTGTGGCACAGTTCTGATATTATAGTTGTGCTATTCTATACACATGCAGGCATGTATATGCTGTATGTATGGTTGAATCTGGCTTCAGATTTTAATATTTTTATACTCGCTTCCTTTAGGAACCATATATTTTTTTTTCATCCACTTGTGAGTTTAATGTAACAAATTATGGGACTTTAGAGTAGTCAATGATAGTCTAATTGCTATAAAATGGTGATGATCTCAACATTGTACTTGAAACTCTAGTTTTTATTACCGGAAATAGAGACTACATTTAAATTTTAAAGGCCTTACATAATAGACATGGACACTGACACAAACACTTAGGGGACACATCAATTAAAATGTTAAGAAAAGTTTCCAACATTTCCTTTCAAGGTGATGGTTTATTTTCACAATATTTACATCTTAAAGAGAAATTTCTCCATAATCATACAAGTTCTCACTCTGTCTACATAGTTTATATCATTTTATTAGTCAGTCAGATTCATTTCATTTATGTTGTCATTCTTCTGCTATGAGTTTGTATGAGTTTTTTTTAAGTGCACGTGGCTGTATATGAAGAATTGCAAACTTATTTGGTAATGTTATCCATTGGCAGGTTCAACTGGAACCCACTACACAGTGGGCTTTACTTCGCAAAGATGTGTATGGCCCATCAAAATATACTGGAATGCTGCAAGCAACCAAGGATATCTTTAGAGAGGAAGGCTTACGGGTATAACTTCAAAAGATGTCCGATGCTTTTATTCGACAACTCTTCAGCAACTCCACATGTTCTTATCCTACTCACATCACTTCTTGTTTCATAATAGGGGTTTTGGCGGGGTAATGTCCCAGCCTTACTCATGGTTATGCCATATACATCAATACAATTTACGGTTTTGCACAAGTTGAAGACATTGGCTTCTGGTTCTTCAAAGTCAGGTTTGTTCTAAAGATTCTGTCCTCCTGGAAAATGCTGTTTGATGTGTTGGTAGATATTACACAAGGTGCATTGTTCCCTTTGCCCTGTTAGTCATTGTATATTTCTGAAATCATATGCCTAGCGTTTGTGGTGTTTCTTGTGATAGGATGCGAAATGATCATATTGTTTTATCTTTTTGGGATGTGTTTGATCTTTGTTGTTGTTCAAATCCACATAATTTATAGGCATCATGAATTTTTTCACTAGATATTTTCCACTATAGTCATTTATTATTTTTAGGATCTTTATGAGACCTATTCTGACTTGAATTGTCTGTTCTGTTGAAGATAGCAGAAATTGAAACTTGGACCTAGGGTAGTTTCAGTTTGACTGGTTAAAATAGAAATAAATTTATAAATATCAACTCATGCCGTTTGATTTCTGACATGCTTGGCCTGATTTTTTGTTTGCTGCAGGAGATCACATCCATTTAAGTCCGTACCTTTCTTATGTCAGTGGGGCACTAGCAGGCTGTGCCGCTACTATTGGATCATATCCATTTGATCTTCTAAGAACCATTTTAGCTTCACAAGGGGAGCCAAAGGTATTGAGTCAGGCATGCAATTGAATTATTGGTATCTGTTTAGTTAAAATTATTTGCACGAATCTGTGTATGTTGAACTCAACTCTTAACTATTGCACATTTTACACCAAGTATAGCTTTCTGCAGGATTTTATATGTATCTATTGTAGCGACTGGTTGTAAAGAATAGATGTGTGGTGGCATTATGTTATCATTATTACACCACATGCTCCATTTGGCAGTAATCATCCCTGTAGAATCTATAAACATCGTGAAAAACTGTCATTGTTAGCCACATTATGTTCAATTTGGTGAAGTTAAAAAAATTATTATTGCCATTTTACTATTTCGAAATGACTCATCCTTCACAATTCATAGGTGAAGAAGTTTTTATCTGTGTGAGTCTGCCTCTGAAAGTTGCAGTCACCTGTTCCTCACATCTGTTGCACTCATGATTCAATATGAATTTCTGGAAGTAATGTATTATGCTTATGATCAGGTATATCCAAGCATGAGATCTGCATTTGTTGATATAATTGAAACCCGTGGCTTTCAAGGGCTGTATGCTGGATTAACACCTACTCTGGTTGAGATAGTTCCTTACGCTGGATTGCAGTTTGGAACCTATGATACATTTAAGCGCTGGACAATGGTAAACTTTTAATTCTATCTCCCTTTCTCTCACAGACGTGCAAACAGGAACATCCAATGGTGATTTGTCTTTCTGCATCTCTGTATATGCAAAAACTTTGACTAAGCATACCTTATCCAATCTCTTGATATTCCTGTTCTGTTTATAATATGAGGGATGAGAATCCTTTAAACCTCGCGTTAGAACTAGCACATACGAATTGTTAGTTTTGTTCTGTAGCTGATGGTCCATCATTACCATTTATGGAGTTCTTTCCTGCTCTTTGTAGTTTCTTGCCAATGAAGTTTATTTTGTATTTACATTTTATAATGTTAAGAAATATGTGAACTATGTTGCTTGTTTTATATTGAAATTTGTATGTATTTATGGAAGGGTTTTGGGGTTGATAATGAGGCTGAGTTGCAGTTATCTTTCTGAGAGTATATGTCGTCTCTGAAAGCAAGATTGGGAATGGAATAGATATAAAGATTGGGTTTGTTGGAATTTTAAATTTTCCCTAGCGTACACCTGTCTGAAATAGTGGAATTACTATCTTTTATCTTTTCACCTCTAAAGTTACTGAGCTAATATCAAGACGAGGTTATAGTTGAAAGTTTCCCTTAGAAATTGCGGCAACACGTTCATAGCGTTCATAGCGTCATTGTGTTGCCATGATCATATCTAATGAAGTACATGATTTTACTCTTAGTTTCTGGACAATTATACTCTTCTATCTACATAAGATAGATTATGTTT